AAAACAAACTCAGTTTCTTTGGTAACTCAAACAGGGAGAATAGTTGTTGTCAGGTATTGGTGAATGCTGGGGTGTCACCCAAAACGTCATGGCCTGTCACCTTTGACACGTGTGTCACAGGTTCACCATCACTGGCTTAGGACTTTCACACTTCAAAGCCCAGTCAAACTGATATTTTGTTTTTCTGCCTACAGTAGGCTGCAATTTGGTTCAGGGGGTTAGATTCTCTACCCACTTATCTATCCTCTTGGCCTTTAGTAGATCTATCTAGGTTCAATTTATTGAATTAAACGTTTTATGGAACTGCATTAAACTGAAATGTGGCTATGTGCTACTTCAGGGTTAAACAGATTTCAGACTTGTAGGGTCTTCTCTGCCTTTTGATTGAGATCCAGAGATCAAGGCATAAATGTAGCATTAAGGTATTTTGAGCCAATGGTTTTATTTTTAGTAGCTTAACTAAATAGAGCAATCCTTCCAAATGCAAATAATTTGTGTCTCTTAGCTTTCTTCTTTTGGATATGAGATCATTTGTTTTTGCTACTAAGTCAATAACACTTGCCTATCATATGCAGACCAAACAAAAATCTACCAGTAAATACTTTTGTATATTTATGAATTATAATTATAGTTGGTTTAATGCATTGAGATTAACACTCAGGTGATGCCATCTACAGGACTCTTCGTCATATTCCAAAGAAAGTTAAAACTGGTTCTTTTTGCATCCACACTCTAAGAATTCAAGATGCTATGCATTTAAAAAAAAAAAATCTTGCAGCTGATGACTGCTGTAAAATCTTTTTGGAATATAGTTTTAATAAAAATTAGGCCTCTAAAAGTATGTTGAAGAAAGCAAACATGCTCAACATTTCTTATCCCCAGAGACTAGCGCATTACAGGTCATACAGTGAAGGAGAGATGCAACTGGAAAAGAAGAACTGTGGACAACTTCATGAGTAAGAGCATAAAGCATTTCCAGAATGTGGCTTCTTGTCCTACATCCCTAATGCTATCTAGAATGGCAATATATTTACTGATAGTTGACAATAACCAAGGAGTTGTTCTCCCAGATTTACACTGCATATGTGCTAAAACAGAAACCTACCTGTGCTATTTCAATAAATTTGTCCTGAGAATACTGAGGTAGCAGCACCTTTGAAATATCTTTCACAGCATCCACTTGAAGATAAAGATTCAGCCAGGAGATTACTGTTACCGGGCACAACTCCCACTTAAGAGCCTATAAATGTTTAAACATAATGTTTATAGGGCTGTCTGTTGCAGTAGTTTAGCTTTCAGACTGCATGATATCCACAACAGATATTGTCTAAGCAAATAAACTTTATTTTATTCTCACAAGCAGCAGGAGAGGTAGCATTTTTTTATTTACTATATCCCTGACAAATAAGGGTAAAGTTATTTCCCATGTGTAAGGGATGGCCTTTCAAATCAAAAAGCTTTGCATAGGCCAGCTGTACAGTCTGAAATTCTAGACCTACATGACACCTCTAAAGTCTCTAGAACCCATCTCAAATTTACCACAGACTTGTAATTTTGAATACGAGACCATGGGGAAATAATTAAATATATGGGGAATATCTGTATCATCTACACTTAATTAACCATGTTCATTAATGTATATTTAGTTAAATCAATTTCTCTTTTGTATTTGGTTCATTTACTTGTTTGTCCTCACCTTAGCTACTTTTAGGAGCGTGACTCCAGAATGCCACTCAGAGGCTAAGGATATCTCTTAAAAATTAAATTCACAAATTAATGCCTAGTATATTAGGAATTAGATATACTAGAAAGAGCTCAAATTGTCAGTATCTTAATTTTGTTACCTTTAGTATGATTAGTTCCATTCTTATAATGTCATCTTCACTGCAAGCACCATCAGTAACATAGGCAAACTCCTGTAGTTTAGGAGCATATATCTCCTTTTAAAAAAAAAAAAAAAGCGTTAAAACAGATTTTATAGAACTGGTGATCACAGTTTTCTACATCCTTATGCAGTATACAACTACTATTTCAGTTTTACAGTTCAGAAGCTCAATGCAATTACTGTTAATTTTTTTTTATCACCCACAGAAAACATAATTGGCTACATAGATATGGTCTATTGTGTAAAACAACAGTGCTCCTATGCAGTCCCAGACATATCAGAAATAGACTGGTAATTCTACTGTCTCTTGTTCAAAACTACCTCAGGCTTGCAAAATAAAAAAAACCAACCTACAAATAGGTGTCAGCTATGCTAAGACTTCTATTCCTTAAACTACACCAGCTTTTCAAATCTCCAGGAATCTCAGTTACCGAACTTAAGTGACAGAGATTCTCTATACTGAGCAAAATGACACGGTAGCATATTTCACGTGCATTATCTTCCCAAATGCAAAAAAAAAAAAAAAGGAATTAGTAGGACATCATAGAAGCTGACCATAAGTGCTTTGTTTTTAGAAAGGCTGGGTCAGAAATGTCCCTACAGTTTATGAAAGGGGCATCATTTGGATATTTTCAAGAAGTCTCCTGAAATACTCTTTCTTTCACAAGAGGCTGTTGCATCAGATCTCTGTTGAGAATATGAAACAAACCCAGTTGTACTGGCAAGAACCCATCAAACTTCTAAAAGTCTTTCTTAGCATATTAACTGCAGAACTTCTATTTCTCACCTTGTATTGATCAAAGCCAGATCGACCTGAACTACCTGCTACTTCCTCAGCTGTCATAACAGGATAAGCTTTTGCAAGCTATGTGAGCTATGCACTGGTGGTTAGGCCTTTTAGTTTTTATTTGACTGAATATTTGATTTTTGTGCCTTTTTGGTTTGTTTGCTTGCTTGCCTTCAAGCTCTTGGTGACTCCAAGAACAAGCCCATGCAGTTTTCTAGGCAACATTTTCAAAAGTAGCAGGCCATTGCCTGAAATACTTTACCTGAACAAAAGCACAGCTTCAGGAAATGTGTTTTAAAAGTCTATACTTTTTCAGAGGAGCTCAAGGCAATTTATTCAGGGATTTCCTTTTACCTTATCCCTGTAACAATGACCCAGTGAAGAAGACTGACCTGAGGGAGGAAGACTGACCCAAAATTATCTTGTGCGTTTTCATGGCTGAGGGCAGACTGGAAACAGGGCCTCCTCAATTCTAGCTCAGCACTAACTAGGTAACTGTAGAAATGCACTGCATATCTCTACTTACCTCAAGCTTGGAAGCAATAAACAGTGTTGTAATTCCTATAAGCTGAAGCATGGTTTTATTTATGTCCTTCTGAGTCAGCATGAATCTATCAAAAAAGTCTTGGGCCAAGTAGAATGTTTCTCTATGGAGTGTGTATACTTCACATACCTGTAACAGAATGCATGGCAAACAGTAGTCTGAATAGCCAGCGAAAGAGCTTTATTTTGATATCACCTGTCCTTAATTTTAAATCAAGGTTAATAATTACAGATGGAAAAAATATTTTTGCCTGACAATAAAGACTTTTCAAAATATATATTTACAGTAACTTAATTACTAATATATTTTTAAAGCATGTCCAGTGTCTTTCAAATTTAAAATTCTACACTACTCGCTAAATATACTAAATTTACAGGAGATACACTGCTCCTGTAAATTTACTAAGTGCAGATAAATTCTACACGTGTTCTTAAATTTGAGGGGGTTTACAGTATTTAATACGCTCAGTCATGGCAGCCATAATTAGGGGATATCTAGAAGTTTTCTCCTACAAGAAGCTTTAGTTTTCACTATTGAAAAAGTATTGGGAAATGTTCCATGTTTCTAATAGACATTTGCATTATTTCTGATAATTTATCTGGGTATTTGGCACCACTGCACCACCATAAAAAAAACCAGTTTCCACATAATGTGGTAGTAGTGGTATACATGCAAATATAAGATCATTCTACCATAACTAGGAATAACAGATTAATAATCAGTTTGTCTCAGGACATTCAGCTCCTTTTTCTTTAAGTATAACAAGACTTGGCATATCTGAGATAATGTCTTATAAGAGGTAAGATCAGAATATATTCATATTCTGAATGTTCTCTGTATAAAGTAAATTGTTTATCTAGCCCAACAAAAAATGACAGATCTGCAGAAATATGTGAATTGTAGGTTACAGAGAGAAATATGCTGTGTTGATATAGCTGGCAATAACAAATGAAATTATATCAGAAAAAAATGCTTAAAATTGAAATAATTGACCTTTGTTTATAAAAGCAGACTTTAATCTATTTGTCCCCTACATATGATCCTTGGATTAGCCTTCAGTACTATCCATTACATGGATGAGGAAGAATGTTGCAGTGCTAATCAAGCCTATTTGAATAAAAGATTCTGTGAAATTAACTGATTTTTTTCTAATATTTCTTTACATGTAAGTAAACATACATGGGGCTGGAACCATACCATTAGCCTTCCATCTTGTCATTACTCACACTGCCTTTTCTGTTGCCTTGCTGTGTGTATGTTTAACACGAAATCCTATACATGCAGGTTTGAGTCCATAGTCACATAATGGCTTCTGATTATATGAAACATTTAAAGTTGTAAGCTTGGAGGTGTTCTTTTGTAGATGGTTTGCTAAATGCATATAGTTTAAGGAGGCAAGTCTAGCAGAACAGATGGGTGGAGTCAGCAAAACATCTTCCTTGCTACTTCATTGAACAAGGCTGATACGTTTCAGATCTGAATGTAAGATGTACTTTTCCCTATTAACATTATATATTGAAGTACTAGAAGTAATATTAAATCCTCCCTTAATTTAAAACTAGTGCTTTAATTTAACAAGAAAAACATACATTGTTAAAACTAAACAAATTAAATGTTAAGATTCTTGGACAGTCTGCTGCTCCTTGGTGTTGTTTTATAATGCTCATTATTTCAATACTTACCTCTAGAAGCCAGTCCAGTAGGACTGATCTCATATGTGGCTGTAGATTGGAGTGTAGTGATGTGAAATGCTTGCAGTGAGAATATTTGTTTTCTTTTTTGAGAATGTTGAACCAGACATCTCTAGAACTGCCCCAACTAAAATCAAGATAAGTAATAAAATTTCAGGTTAGAGAAAAAACAAATATGCAAATTTGCTATTCTGAGACTAGTTGTTTCCATTTGGTGAACCCAGTTTATTAGTTTTAGTTTCTAAAACAAAACATATTTTAACAGTGGTCCCGTTAAATGCCATGAAATTTAAAAACATTTCTTAGCTGTTTTTCAAGACTGTATGTTTAATAAATACAAACAGTAGAAAAACAAACAAAAATTGTACATTTGCCTTCAGACAAAACTGTAACACAGGATTGTTATATGCAGGAGTGTGAAACAAAAAATAGCATGAACAAGATCAAAATACATATCCCATGCAAAGCTTGGATCTTGGATTTTTGAGCATTTGTCTTCCTAAACTCTAGTTGTCTGCTTAAAAAAATAGGATGTTTATTAGACAGCAACCACTCCAAAATGAATTCCACATTTTAAAAATCACTTTAGCTGTTTTATTTACACCTTGAAGCCCCAGCGCAAAAATACTCATATTGGTCAGTTATAGGACAAAGCAAATTATTTTATGACAATTTCACATTTTGGGAGTGGGGAGGACAAGAACTATATCTGGAAGACATGTTTTATCTGCTACATATAAGCCCAGAGCTCCCCTTTTGTGTATAACCCCATCTGTCTCAAAATGGGGGGGGGGGGGGGAA